TAATTGTTTTGGGTTAAAAAAAAAAAAAAAAGTGCAGCTGGTGCTGGAACTGGAAGGAACCTCAAAGCAAAGCACTAACACCGGACTCCCTAAATATACCTATGTTGGGGTTTAGAATGACAGGGAACAACATACATTTCCTTCACTCATGTCCTAATTTACTTATGCAGGAACATTGCCACATGGCCTCCCAAGGTTATCTACTTTTTGTTTCCCTGTACCTGTGATGGTGTTGACAACCGTTCGCAGGATAGTTGGAGGTTTTATCAGTTCCTTAAGAATGTTAGACTCTGTTGCCAATGGAAAGCCATTGTCCAGCATCTCCTCCAGCACCTCATAAACCACCACAACATTGTCCTTGATCATCACCTCTGAACAGACACCAAAATAATCCTGTGCAAAAGAAAGAATTACTCAATCTCTGAAAGAGAGTCCTAGTGGTCATTCAGTTCAGTGTCCTCCCACACAGAGGGATTGATTTATTTATCAACCCTCTTCTTGGAGGACTTGAAACAACACTGAATCTCCATGTATTAGTACAATCAGACAGACCCACCACTCTGACAGACATGCACAACTCTGAGCATTCCTCTACCAGTGCCCCTGCAAGCTGGCAAATCACCACATCATCATATCCTCTTATTTCCTTTCTATATAACAAGATTCCCTTTGATAGCTACAAGATCTTTTAGTTAGCACTTAAAAGAGGCTCAACTACAACTGATCAAGCAGCAATATTAATAAGAAAAACTTACTTCCTGCAGCCACTACTGAATTGCGTGTAGCAATGCCTTTCATTAGACTCCAGTACTGGATATTCTTCCTCGGCTGCCCTGGTCTTTACCTACAGTACTCGCAATATTTTAACTGGGCAGTGCTGCTGTTTAAGGAACTCAACCTCTCCTCATCAAAGCTTTTCCTTTACTTTTGTTATAATGTTTGCATACATACAGGCAATAATACAATCATTTCCTTCAATTCTGTATGTATTTTTTTAGAATTTACTCTGATGTGGAAAATAAGGGAAGCACAGCTTCAAACGCTCTGCATATTCTGCAGGTTTGTTTTATAGCAGAATGTTTCTGAAGTCTGTCTAGCACACTACCTGTGTTTTTTCATTCTGATACCACTTGGGATGTACAGACTGCTTGCACACCCTAAGATGTATTAGGCCAACAGCAGAAGTCCAGTATTCTGAGAAGTCTTAAAAATAATTCTATCCATGTAACAAAACTCCCCTTCCTCATAATTTAAGAGGTGTATAAAGCAGAACCTTAGAATGTGAATCACAGAAAATCCACAGACCAGTTTATTCCCCAGCTTCATTCCTCTACTGTTTCTTCAGCTCCTAAACAACAATTAACAATATTAAAGTTTGCAGTAAAAATATGCCAAGTCAAATTGTAAATTTGTAACAAATGTAGGTAATTTGTTGGTTGTGGAAATGTAGGTTCCTTTATTTATGAAATATCTAAGGAGATATTTCAAGATTCAGCATATGTTATGGAAAACATTCCCAATAACTCAGCAATTTTAAAAACTGAACATTTAATTTAATCATAGTTTTATTCTATAGGGATTTCACGTATCTTTCTGGAGAAAGAGCGCACACGAACATAAAGACACCAGGTATTCTGCAGAAAGGATTGTTTATGTAAACTTTGACACTGGTCCTGCACTACAAACTCTATTTCTTTTTCAGACATATCAGGTTTTAACATACAGCCAAGCCAGTAAGGGCACACTCTTGCCTTTGTCCTCTCACAAAAAACAAGACCTAAGCGACTGACATAGTATGCTTTTAGCCTGAACAACCAATCCACTCCCTGAACTCAGTGAAACAGAACTCAGCCTACACTCCTGTTCTGATTGGCACCTGGGAAGCAAAAGCTCACATGATACCCACATTTCCTGGATTCTGGTAGGATGCTGGTCACAAGACATTCCAAATGCAGACTACACAATCCTGTTGTTGAAGACAGACATCTCCACTATTTCTCCTAACTGCCCGGAAGGCCTGTCGGCTGTGGCACGGAGGGAATAAGGCTGCTCTGGGCCAACTCCTGTGACTCACTTCTTTAAGAAGCCGAAGGAGAAATATCACTAAATATTCCAAAGAATATCACTAGATGTAGGCACTCAGTGACACATGGCTACGAACCGCAAAACCTCCTTATGAGAACACGACCAGCTTGGTCTTAGCTCATAGCTTCCAGAAGAGTCAAGGCTTCAAAACAGAAATAACAGCTCTCAGTCGGTGGAAGGTCCTTCCTGTGAGCATTGACTTATCTCGGATCCATCGCTATCCGAAGCGGTGCATTCCTGACTGAGCAAGCCCGAAGGCCCACTCTAGATCCCCACAGGTGCAGGATAAGAATTAAGAGGTGGGAAAAAAAAAAAAAGAGAAAACCAATTGCCGGCAACTTGAAGAGAACCCTTTTCTCCCCCTGACTCGTCCTCCTCCAAACCACGGCAGCGACGGTGCAGGAACTCGATGACGAAGAGAGGCGGCACCTCACTCTGGATAACGGCCACGAAGAAGATTTTGTGGCGGTAAACACTGAGGAGGTAATGGTGTGGCGTGGGGATCACCGGCGGCACGTTTTCTGCCTCTGACGCCCTCTCCTGCGCCTCGAAGAAGTAGTCGCAGACGGAGCGGCTGACGACGCTCTTCCAGTGCTTCTCCAGGAAGATGTCCCCCGAGGCGTTGATGAGGAAAAGGCTGTGGATCATGGCTGCGGCGGGGCCCTCCCGCTGCGGCGGCCGGAGCGAGGAGCAGAGCAACCCGGCTTCCCCTCCGCACACCGCTTCAGCGGCTGCTCGCGCCCGCCTCCTTCCCACCACAAACTCCGCCTCCGCCCCACCACTTGCACGCTGATTCGCAGCGCGGAAAGTTTCACCTCTGCGGGAGGGGCCTGGCCAGCGAGCCCTCTGATTGGCCCAGGATGGACGTGCGGACGATGACGCAGTAGAAAGACACGCTGCGCCCAGCTCCGATTGGGCCAGCAACCTGCCCGGGCACGCGCCCCGCCAGCTGAGGCGCCCGCGCCCCGACACCGTGTCAGCCGCCGCCCAGCAGGGGGCGCTGAGGAGCGCCTCCGCCGCGCTCGGGAGAGCCCCGCCCACCGCCGCGCCACGAGCACGCGCCGCCCCCGCGGGTCCGGTCCCCCGGCGGCCCGGTCTACCCCCCCCGCCCGGCTCGGGACAGCAGAGCCGGCGGCCCCGAGACCCGCGCCTGCTTCCCGTTCTTTTACGGGCAGCCTTTCCTGGGGTAGGCAGCTTTGCGCAGTCCGTTAGAACGTGTTCAGTGACCCGGATTGGGGTCGAACCTCTTCCGCTGCATCGTTTTGCTGGTTTGTTCACCGCGGAGCAAGACCGCTACGGAAAACACCATCCAGCGGGAACAAAAATGACAACGGTCATGCAAAATGCACCTAAAACCCGTGCCAAGCCCACCCCTTTGCACAACTAGAGCAGGTGCTCCACGTCCATAGAGCACATCTCTGCACTTCCAAGTCAGGCAGATGCCATCACAAATAACTTTCCAATTTTACTACTCTGCTGGGAACAAACATGAATACAAGAACAACGAAAAATAAGCCCTTTCTATCCCATTAAATAAGGTGTGCAGGCTTTATTCCAGGGGAAGACGGAGGACTGCCTGCTGGTCCAGCACCGGAAGGGTCGGGTCTGGATCTTCACAACCAACTGCAAACCCTGTAAGCAGAGATATCACCAGTTCTGGGAGATGAGTATGCTACTGGTCTGACTGGAATGGAAAACTGCAGGGTCAGAGTTTATGTTAGACCTTATTTTCTATTGATACATTGTACCTATTTTTCCTCCCAAACCGGGCAGAGGTCAGTTCATTTACTCTGACATTACCTTTTAATACTATTGTATGCATACCTCCTGATTTAAAGTATCAAATAATTCAACATGCGATAGGTAAGTTTTTCGCTGTAGCAGAAAATAATGGAGAAATGACCTATATATTAATTTCTCTTTTACAGACAGTCATGATTTATATCATATGCATTTTTTAAAACATCAAATTACTGTAATGAATCAACAAAGGGGTAATAACTTGTATTTTAATTACAACGCTTCTAAATTCAAAATAATTATTTATTATTTTAATGTGATCACTTTTATCACAAAGGTATTGTAAAGATTATTGTATCAGTCTATGAGACTCTTGGAGACTCTTGTGTTAACGGGAGTCATATAGGTATCACAAACGGTAAGCACTAGCACATAAACTGACCAACAACATAAAACCTTTATATATTTGGCTCTCTGAGAAACTCAATCCTTTCTGCTTTTAACCTGGACCTTAAAATCACCAGTCACGGGAAACGTCTTTTCAATATGGGCATTTCTTTTTTGTCTCATGAAACACAATTCAGTTTTGACTGTATTATACATTACTTAAAAACTGCCATTTCCCTCTGACTGCTTGCATCCATCATCACAATTGTCAGTATTTTACCTAGTTCATGATGTGGTCAATTTTTATGTCTCTTACGGTTACTTCAGTTTCTTTAGCCATCAAGAAGGTTGGTGCCAACACCAAAGCAACCACAGGCGAATTAATTATTTCTGCACACCAGAGGAAAAGGTGAAATATGTTTCTGCTTTAAAATCAGACAGGTTTATTAAAGTATCTTGCTGACACCTGCAGAGAATAATTTGGAGTTACACCACTGTACTGCTGCAGAAATACTGCCTGGCTGCTTCCAAATTGCTAGCATGGTTTTGTTCTGAAAGTCAGCCTCCACAGTGGCTTGGGAGCTTAAACAAACTGGAACCTAAAAGGAGAACACAGTAGAAGGTACTGCCAGAACAGAATTTCATTTTGCTGAACCCCCAGAGAAACCTAAGTAGAAAGAGCAGTGTGCCAGTCCCTACACTGTCTTTATGATAAAACAATTCTTTACCATCTGCAGTTTGCCATATGCAGATGATTTAGCTTGTGCTGTGAAAATAAAAAAGGCCATTTTTAAATTTATAACAGTCAACAGAAAACAAGGTCCTAATAATAACCTACCGCCAATTTTGAAACAGAATAGTGCTGACAGACTGATACTCTGTTGAAGATACATAACTGGGTTTCACTGTTATGTACTGAATCCTCTGAGTCTTGCTTTACTTTCTTATCTGGAAATTATGTTTATATCTCCATTACCTTTTTTGAATACAGCACCACAGTCTTGTAATTTAAGGCACTGAAAGTCATGCAGCATAGAGCCACCTGAATTTTGAAGGCTCAAGAAGAGGTGGGAGAAGAGATTAATTTGTAGGGAGAATTCAATTCTGCCAAAACAAGGCCAGACCTCTGTAGTCTACATGGCAGACAGAGAACTCTGTACAGTGCCTTGTACAACAGCATCTCAGACTCCATTGGCTTCAAGTAGTAACTAACTCACCGAGAACATTTAATTTTTACACTGAAAAACCTAATCTGTTAAAACATCAAAAGAGTTCCTCTTGCTCAAAAGAGAAATTTCTCACCTCAAGACACTAAAGCAAGCCATTCAGAAAACGTCACAAGTTTGCTTTATCAACTCTGTCTCCACAACGTTTCTTAAGATTCTATTTTTTCTTTTCTAAAAAGGGAAGTTCACGTGAAACTTTACACAGTAGTTGTGCTACTGGTGAAAAAGCGATGGTGAAAATCGCCTGCTCCATAAGGTGTGCACACCACGGGCAAACAGAGGCAGAGGTTAGAAATGGTTAGAGAACTGCAAGCAGCACGGAACTATTCGGGATGGATACAAACCCGAGATTCTTTCAATCAAGTATAACCTAGGACACGATGCTGCAAAATGAGAATTTGCTCATTTCCGCCAGCTTCCAGCCCCTGCTAGCCTCTTGCCGCTCCTCTGCGGCGCAGGGGAAGCAGGGGCCCGGGGCCGGCCGCCGCTCTCGGGGGGAAAGTCCCGCTCGGTTCCAGGGACAAGCGGCGGCTCCGCGGGGCCGGGACCAAAGCGCCCAGCGAGCTCGCAAGTTACTTCCCTGGAGAACAGCTCATGTTTCGGCAGCGAATTTTCACTCTACAAAGTAAAACGTACCAAAACCGTCAGAAAGTCACACAAATTACCTCACAGAGATGCCCCAGGGCGGAGCAGCCGCGGTGCAGGCGAGGCGCGGCGGCTGCCAGAGCTGAACGGCGCCGTGACTTCGGGATTCCGCATCCCCCCCGCACCTTCACCTCGGGAAAACCCGGACCCGCCGTCCCGAGCGCGAGCTTAATTAAGCCCCAGACGTGATTTCCTACTTACAGGCTACAACCGCCCGTCGCCAGAGCGCCATGCTCGTCCCGCGCCCCGCCGATCCCGCCTGCCCGGCGGCGACGGGAGCAGCCGGTAGCCTTGTCCCTGCGGGCCCGGAGCGCGGGAGCTCCCGCTCGAGCGCCCTTTCCAGCCAGCCCTCGCTGAGCGCCACCGCCCGCCCTGGCCCGGCCCCATACGCTCTGCCCACACGGGGCCGCGGGCCGCCCCCGCCGGCCGCCCCCGCCAGCCGGCCCCGGGACAGCGGTGCCCTCTCCGGG